GGCCCTGCGGGATCCGATGCCCCCTGGTGGTTTATTAGATGAGCTTGTAGAGGATTGGCATGTCCAACTCTCGACAGCCATCAACGAGATCACTCCCCGACATCCTCTGCGCTCTCGCTCTAGGCTTGCTCCCTGGTTCACCCAGGAGCTGCAGCTTATGAAGTGGAGGCTAAGACAACTAGAGAAATGGTGGCGGCACGCCCGTGATGAAGCTGCAAGAGTATCCTATAGGACATTTATGAGATCCTATGAGATGGCAGCCAAAGCTGAGAAGTGTGAAATCTACACGGCCACTATTGCATCTGCGAGCTCATGCTCAGCCCAGTTATTTAGAACAATTTGGTCCCTGACCAAAGGAGTAATCACACTGCATTTAATTTTTTTTTTTTTTTTAGGGGGATTGTATGGCTAGACTTTATTTATTTGAGTTGCATTCTTGTCCTCTTGGTTTCCAGTTTGGTTTTCATTTTATTTCTTTTAAAAATCCTTATTTTTTTTTGTGCTGTGGTGTGCGGCTACACTGCACCATTGCCCTCACCCTGCTGGAGTCCCACCCCTCCCCTCACCCTGCAACCTCACCAGCCAGCCCCCCCCTCCATTCCAACGCCACCGGATGGGATGCCACCAGACGGGGTGTGGGAAAGAAGCAAAGTGGTGGCGGCAGGGTGGTCAATCCAGCACCCCATCTGTTTTTCATCTGCATTGTGAATTGTGGTGATGGCTGCCATGGCAGCAGTGGCGGTGCCGCGGCTACCTCCCCACCTGCCCCATGCCCTCCAACTTAAAAAAAAATCCTGGCTATGCCCCTGATACTGGGCAGCTTTAGTAGTCATGAAGGTCAATAAAAATCACCACTCAGCTTTGCACCCAAGCAATTCTAGGTGGGATTCAAGCCTATGATTCCAGATCCCGCAACTCACTGACACATCAACTAAGTCAATAGATTGCCAACTATGAATAGCCTGAAGCTCAATCATACATAAATATATGAAGCTGCCCTATACTGAAATCAGACTTCTGGTTCATCACAGTATTGTCTACTTAGAAGGACAGTCAGTGGCTCTCCAGACTCTCATGCAGAGATCTCTGAGTTCTTTCACATCACCTACTACCAGATCTTTAACTGAAGATGCCTGGGATTGAACTGAGGGCCTTCTGCATGCCAAGCAGAAGCTCTGCCACTGAGCCACAGCCCCTCTGAACTATTTTTGCAACTACATCTTACCCACTGCTCTTTATCTGGGCACTGAAAATGTAGCTTTACACCAATAGCGAACAATCTGGTCCAGTTCTTGTATGTTTAAACACTGATTTGCCCAAGTATCAGTAAAACAAAGAGAGCATGTACATTTCTCATTGTACTTCTTTTACTTTCCATATTTAGCATGGGTATATGAAGAGCCCATAACACAGTCAGTCAATGCTCATGACTAAAAGTTAAAATACACCACTGTGTGAATAAACATAATGTTCTGTCTATTCTATCTGGAGGTTGCTTCTAGAATTTTGTACTATGGTGCCAGTTGCTCCTCCCTCATTCCTACATGAAAACATTATATTACATTTGTAAGGCTTTGTTGCCGGGCAAAACATACAGTAAGTCTGTAAGGTATACCAAAAATTAAATTTTGGTGGTTGAGGGTTTAAAAAAAAAATCTTTCAGGTTTCAGAACCACAAACATACACTTTACCCTTCCTCCTCCAATAAAAAGCCATTCTACAAGTAAACATCCTGAAATTTCAACTTTTTTTTCTAATTCAAAATGAGTTCTCAGTGAACAGTACCAGCAAGGACCTGGCTGATCTCACTGGAGATTTATTTCTGATAGGAAGACTTCAGACTTGCACATGTGAGATTCAAACATGTCCTAGGGATAAAGCTACAGCACCTTGCATACCTGATAACCACAGAAAAAATTTGATCAGTTCTTCCTTTCATGCATACAAGATGTGGGGTCCCTCATAATGAAAACACATTATACATGAAGATGTAATCAAGCAGCTGGGGTTTATCTCCAAAACATAAATATACAGAAGCAAGCCCTCCTATTATTTTAACTGCCTTTGGTTGCTTTCAATACCTATTTGGGAAATTTCTTGAAAAATCATGCTTGCCAATGAATTCTATAGATCAAGCAAAGTGTCTTGATTGTTGGAAGCAACCATTGGAAACAGGCCTTCAGTATAAAAACCATATTAATACATCCTATTAGCACTTTGCAAAATCAGTTTATGGATTATGGAATGGTTCTTGAAAATTTCTTCTGCAAGATATTTGACAGGATTTCATCAAAGCAGCAACTGTCTTCACAAATATAAAACTGCCACAGAGTCACTGTATAATTAACTGGAGCATTTTTTTTTAAAATTAAAATAATGTAAATGTTAAGAATTTGTGGTGTCTCTTCATCTTTAGAGGTTCCCCTTTATTCTGGGCTTAGAAAGAAGAATTAGCATATTGAGGGTGCCTTTGTGATCTTTGAGGGACCTGGTCACCCTCAAGTTCAGACCTTCGAGTTCTTTAAAAGAACTCAGCAGACACCATGATGGGTAATAAGAAACAAAGACATATATATATAAAAGAAAGATTGGTGTATATAAAAGAAAGATTGGTGATGTTAGTGCCAATGTCCTGAAGAGTTGTACCTCTAACTGTATTAAAGTTTGCTACACTGACTGTACTTACCATGTACATATTCAGTTTATTATAGCAAGGTAAAACTTTTGATTATTTCCCATATTTGCTAATGACTGCTGTTGTACAAAATAATTTGTAGCTTCGTATCTTGTATAGGAAGCATACCATATCACTAGGCAATTCATAGGAAAAGCCCAGAACCATACAAACTACCAATATCAAGGTGCTTCAACAAAGAGATACACTCAGGTGGGTAGCTGGGTTGGTCTGAACAGAACAAAGTTTGAGTCCAGTGGCACCTTTAAGACTTACAAAGTTTAACTCTGGATATATGCTTTTGTGTGCCAATTTTAATGAATTTTAATGAATTTTCAGTTGCCACAGTTCTCCATGGTGTTTTTTTTTAAGTAGAATTGATTTTTAATACAATATTTAATGTAACTTATGCATTTTGTTCTGATTGCCCATCTGTCATAGTTTGTTCTCCCTGATTTATAGGCCTGTTATGCAGATAAGCCAGTCTAATACAGAGCTTGGGTGGGATAGACCAGCTGGTTGTTTGTCATTCCTTATTCCAGATACTATGAAGTGAAACTTCCAATAGCGTTATATGTGTTTCCGCTAGAAGATTCAGTGTTTAAAATTATCAGTCATTTGGATACTTAACAGATAGCTCTTGAATCCAAGCACCACCTAGCTGCTTTTTTCTTTGCTATGTGTAGCATCTTCTAGTTCATTAATCTCTAGGGCAGGCTAATACAATCCACCACATGTTGTCCTCTGTCAGGTGTCTCCCACACAGTTGCATCCAGGATAGGGAGCAAAAACAGGACATTTGTGGAACCCCTAGTGGGCTACCATCATATAGCTGTTGGGCTGCATTTGCTTCATAGATCACATTCTACAGGCTTGCTTTATGTCACAAATTATTCATTTCAGAAAGCAAGGAATTTCGAAGGCAGAGTACTTCAGACACAATCAAACTGATCAATAAGCCACCCTTTATGGAATGCAGAGGAATGGCTAAGGGAGAACTCCTGTTCCAGGTGATTTGGCTAAAGAGATGGTGGCTTGATTACATAAAAAAGAGCCATCCTGAAATCTGATGCCTTATTGGACATGCTATGAAAACCCTCCAATATCCATTGATCTCCATGCATTTACATTACTTTACAAGGTGGGCTTCTGATGTTTGGCTTAGGCATTTCAAGGCTAGGTGTGGATACTCCAGTGACACAAGCTGCTATAACTGCAAAAAGAAACCAAAGCTGGGTCTATACAATAAATTTACAGTTTCTTCTATGCACTTACGCTCTGCATAAGTACGTGTATACAGTATATAGTATGAGCATGCTTTTATATAATGAAAAACATTTTAAAAACAGTCTATTGAATACAGGATGGAAAAAACATAGTGGGGTGTATAGTTCACTGAAAAAGTTATTCTTAAAAGATGTTTCCATCCTGAAATAAGCCCAGCGAAGTTCAAGTTCTAATGTAATGGTTTACATCCAGGGCATTTCATGGATTCCTGCTTTTTCAAAATAAGCTCATGAAGTTGTAAATTGTCCCTGGATGGCTCAAAGATTGTCTTAACAAGGGGTGCAAGTGCCCTGTTTTCAAATAAATATGTATCTGTGGAAATAATTTAAAAAGCCAACCTGTGGATTTGAAACATTATATCAGGAATAGTGCAGATCTTAGACACCGTGTATATACATTAAAAATAAAGGGTCTGGCCACTCTTTAGAAACAGCACCTAAGACACTGCTTTCTGGCTGAACAGCTTTCTGAGCAAAACCAAAGAAATCGCTGACCAAAAAAAGTGAGCTTCTGAGGCACTAGTAAAACATAGAACGAGTTGACCAAACAAATTGCATTCACATAAAAGCAACCGTGCCCTATACAAAAGCCTGCTCAACAAGCAACATTCACAAACTTAATCAGATTCAAAGAGTGTCCAGTGTGGGAGAAAAGAGAGTTCAGTTCCACTGGCATGGTTTGATTTTTGGTGTTCTTATTCTCCTTTGTTTTCAAAAAAACACAGCTTTTTGCTGCTTCCATGTAGTATTTCTCATTCATTCTGAGAAGGTCCAGCTTTTAGCCATTATGCAATGGAGTTCAAAAGCAGATACATTTTGTTTAGCCAAAAGGGACTGCCATACACCAGCTTGCTTCCTCTCAAATGGTGTACAATTCCCCTTTTATGCAAGATTCTCCATAAATATTCAGTAGCTTTAGTAGCAGCAATGTCAGCACAATACATTACTCAGAATAGTTGGTATGCAGCTCAGATATTTTGCATATCCTTGTCATCATTCAGTAGTGGTCCAGCAACCCCCCTTTCTGCAAGTATCTGTGCTGTAGCTGAGATCTCCAGTGTCCATGTTGTGCCCCCTTCCTGTTTCAGAAGTATCCCATGCATTGTTTTTGTTTCTCCCACTTCACTTGTGGATTAGAGAGCCATTTGTGTACTTTGTTTCTCTTCTTTGTAATTTTTATTTTGTTTTTTATTTTTCATACTCATCTCCCTCGCTCATGCTGCTAATGGATGCTGAGGCAGCTTTTGGAGATGAAGGGGGTGACATTTTCCTGAAGAGCCAGGGAGAAGGGGGAGATGGAGACCGTGATGGAGATCGTCCTCGCGTTGGACTGCTTGTGGGACTTTGTCTTGGAGATAAGGCTTGGAGCATGCGGCCACTCCTCTCTTGAAACATCTGCTTCTGGAAAACAAAAAAGTGAACAAAACAGGCTCATGACACAACTACAACAGGAGAGGTCAGTAAACTCGGAGGAGGGAACAGCAGTGATTTAGAATGGACCGATAAGCTGCAAAAGTTGTCAGTAGATAGGGCAGCATGAGATACCAAGATGCTATTCTTGGACATGTGATGATGTGCATTTTTCAATCACATTCAAGTTTTACATTTGCATTACTGATATCACAAAATCCAAAACTGTTTAAATGCTATGTAAAAAAATGCGACTGAAAACTTTCTGCACCACAAATAATATTTGGTACAGGTATGAGTATGTATGTCATATAAAGTGCACAAGACTATCCTTGCTTTTATTTGACCATGCTATATAACTATTACAATTATTTCAGTTTGTGGTCACAAAATGCTTCTTGTTCTCAGCTACTTACATTTCTGCAGGATCGTTCTGGACATGTGAAACTATGTGAATGTTTCCCAAAGACATTAGTAGTACAGAAATGTGAGGTGGCTAATCAAGAGAGACACATTGCCTTTACAATTCGTCCTAAATATGTTTACTCAAAAAAGTGATCTTGCTGACTTGGTGCTACATTCACTAAATCTCTACAGTTAGCAATCCCCAACAGGACATCTACCAGTGTCAAGGGTTACCACTGATATGACTCCTGGTGCTGGGGTTTTGCCAGGTACCCCCTGGCCACTCGAAGGGGATTTCCCAACCAGCTCCAGGTTGGGAAATGCCTGGAGATTTGAGGATTGAGCTTGAGGAGGAGACAGGGACCTCAGTAGGGTACAATGTCATACAGTCCACCCCCCAAAGCATCCATTTTGTCCAGGGGAACTGATCTCCATAGTGTAGAGATGAGCTGTAATTCAAGGGAATCCCCAGGTCCCATCTGGAGGCTGGTATCCCAACCTGGTGCTCAGTTACTGCCTCACTGCCCTACTTCTTCACTTCTTCCTTATCCCTCTTCAAGTTCCTTTCTTTGTTTTGTTCTCAATGGACATCACAGTCATTCCTTTTTTACACGTTCCTTTGTTTTGTTCTCCTTTAAACTCACAGTCCTTCCTTTTTTTACTCTTCCCTTTTTCAGTTTTCACATTCCTTCCTTCCCCTTTCTCTCCCCTTCCCTATCCTTCACCCCTGACCCATGCCACTTCTCTAGGTGTCTCTGAGGTATACTAAAAGTGAAAGTACCGAGAGGTGGTGGTGGTGAATGACCTTCAGCTGCTTCCTCCAAAATCTGATCAGTAGCTGCAGTTTAAAGGATAAGGTTGCTTGAGCTCACAGCTTGGCTCCATTTGCGTTAATTAGTGCTCTTTAATATCTACAAGTGGAGACCCGCAACAAAATGTTGCCTACTGTGTTCTAGTTGGGTCTCCACTTGTTCTCTCCCCCCCGGCTCCGAGCCCCACAGCCCGGAGAGGGAGCCCGCCCCGCTCCTCAAGAGCACCGTCCAGCCGGCCCTCCTCGCGGGGGGGGAGGCAGAGGACGCAGCAGGAGGAGGTAAGTACCCCCCATCCTGCTGGTTCCCCCGTGTCCTCCACCCCCTATTGCCTTCCCCCCTTGCCTTCCCCCCTGGCTCCTCGCTGTTCCCCCCCCCCTCTGCCCCCAAAGCGACGGGCGAGCGGCGTGCCGCTCGGCCGTTGCTGCTGGTTTCCA